CAGCACCTAAGTGTTCGCGGGCAAGGCTATGAGTAGAACTAATTAGTTCTTTTACTTCGCACACATATGCACCCGTTGTATATTCGGAGGATATAATCACTGGTAAATGAGAGTATGCTGGCATCCAGAAATGACGCCCTATGAGCATAAAATATGGGGCGCAGCCAGTTTACGAGTGTTCGGTGGCACGGTCTGTCATCATGACGAGCGCTAGGTGTTTTTCTCAATCATGGTGGTGTGTCTCTTCCGCAAAGGCCTTCAAAAGCTGAGTGTGTTTGCGATTTGCTCTTTCAATCTGACCATTTCCTTCCGGGTGTCCTGGAGTCTTACGAGTCTTGTAAATGTCGAGCTGATCGCAAATTTCATGTAAGAGTCGACTTTCAAGGTTTGCCGCGGGTGGAAAAAAGTGCTTCGAAACGGAAATCCAATAATTTAAAAGGGCTTTCGTTACAGAAACTGTACTCTGTCGCAAATAGGTTACTGCCTCTACCTGCTTTATAATTTAGTCAACTATGACTAGAATAAATCGGTCAGACGTGGATGCGCTGCAAGTGAGAGAATCAGTCAGTCAGTCAGTATATTGGAGGGAAAAATAGGCTTGCGCCTTTTGAACTCCCTATTTGTCACATCAAAATCTCAAGAATTATTAACAATGTTAAGAAGTTTTCAGTCAGGAAATTATAGACCGTCAAATGGTGCAGTGGCGTTTCCAGATTAATCTGTCACACTGTTCCCGTCACATGGTGCAGTGGTGTTTCAAGGTTAATTTGTCACATAGTTCACGGATGTTGTAGCATGTGTTATATCAAGTCGGTGTTTTGAATGTCTCCACAGATTGGGACATAACAATCGCCTCGGGAAGGTTATTCCATGGGTGACCGGAAGGAGGCAGACTATATCCATATCGGAAAGCTGGTAAATATTGGTTGCAAAGGTGCTCGTAATGACTTTTCACCTGGCACGTGTGTTACAGTGACACATTTCTGATGTAGCTGAGACCGCCAAAACCTAATCTCGCAGGAGTAAAATGTCACTGAAAATAAGAAGCCCAATGGTTACGGATGGTGTAGACTGCTTCAAAAGAGCCGCACAGATTACTGTTTAATGGACGCTGTTGGGCGCGAGACAAGTGGTCACAATCTACTGCAGTGTCTGGATCAGTGCTTTGGGCTACTGCCCGTTGGTGAAGAGTTGGGTCATTCGCATCGACTGCATTCACTGTATTTGTGTTGATAGTGAAAACCATGCATTCGACGTTGGGAGCGATTCTACAGAGGGCATCTAACTTTGCATGTTGTTTTCCAACTCGGTAAACACAAGAAAACCTGTACTTCGGTAAAATCCCTTGCCAGCGAGCCAGTTGGCCTTCTGCGTCGTTATAATTTTGTAGCCACTGAGGGCCATGCGATCGAGTGTACTACGAAGAGCTTGCCGAGGAGATAGGGGCAAAACTGCTTAACAAAGGTTATAATAGCCAGTAATATTCGAGGATACGTGAACTAGTTTCTTTGTGGTTTGCATTGTATCTTCCTGGCAAATT